TGCCTCGCTATCATTACCACTACTACCACAACCACAACTATCGTACCACCACTACTACTACTACCACCATTGCTACCGCTACCGCCACTACCACCACCACCACCACCACCATCATACCATTACCACCACCACCACCACCATCACAATACAAAAATTAAAATATATAATTTAAAAATAATAAATTTCAAATTTAATCTTATACAAATCAAACAATTTATTTTTAGTCCAGCACTTAAATTTTTATCAAACAACTTTTTAACTTAATAAATTCAATATTCAATACTTAATCTTCCGTCTTTAGTTTTCAGCTTTAAAGATTCATATTTTACATCATAAAATTATAGTACGGTTTCTCAACATTTTTGAGCTCATATTTAACTGACTACTAATAATTTTTTCAAAAATATTTTTTTTTACAAACGTATCCTAACTCTGTATCTTTTTAATTTATTTATTTATTTATTTTATTTTGTCGTATTGCCATATCCTAACCATACCCATATTCTATTTTTTTCGATTTTATTATATCGCTGTATCCATATCGTATCATATCTATATCCCATATTTGTGCTTCCTAGATGGTTTACCAGTTGAAATATGATGTAAAGTTTATATCATTATTAAGTTTGGATGAAAGCGTAGAATCCAGCATCTCTTCAACAAACAGAGCCTAAAACCAAGTAGATCTAATTTAAATGGTTAAATCTACCTACATTCAACTGAAAAAATAATGAAAAAGTTCAAAAAAACAAAACTTATGTTGTTCGAAAATTTTGGGTTGAAAATGATGAGACCCAAGTTGTAGATTCATACTTGAAATCTAGTAAATCTAAGCTTCTATCAAGTTTTATGGAGCTTTACAGTGAGATTTGTGGTAGCAAAACTATGAAAACGAGTCAAAGAACTGAAAAAAGGAGTCTTTTGTGCATCTACACAAATCTGGCCGAAAGCTAGTGTAACAGTGCTGCTACATAACACCATTATGCCATACGCGTTTTATTTTATTCACACCACAATTGCGGCAGATATCAGTTTCAGCACCTGGCATTACATAAAGTGTTGCAGTTGATTTTTGAATCATTGTATATAAGGGTAAATTATCAATAGATCCTACTTTTAGGACTTATTACCCGCTAAGTCCTATTGACAAATTTATAATCTCTAATGTTTTTATGAATAAATTTACAATGATAAATTGTATCAATCACGACCTGTAGGTAAATTAGTTTAGTTAATAGGACTGATTGGTAAGTATCCTGTATATAGACAAGCTTTTGTATGTGGCTTCTATATTCAAGCACAAAGGTATACATCCCATTCTGTCTCTATGATCTGACTAAAGTTACTTGCACAAAAGTCTATAGTACATCAAGTATCATCACCTCCTTATGTTAAACTTATCACTTTAAAGTAGAAATACTAGTTGTTTTCTATTGATGTATGAGAAATACACAGCCTTGTGTTCCCTTATTAGTGTCATATGCCACTACATCTGAAACTTACATTTCCAAAAATGCCCCACATTCAGGTTTGGCATCTATTGGTGGTCCAGCAATGAAATTTACTTGTCCATTTTCTACATAATAAAATTGAAATCTAATAGTTATACATCCTGCGTTGTGTCAGAAACTATCAAGGAAGCATCATCTAATGAACTATTTTTTAAAAGTGATGTAGAGAAAAGGAAGCATGCCATACTGAAGCAGTGATGCCAGTAAGCAAGCAATGGAAAGATGAAAGCATTAACATAGAAAATGCAAACAAGGTTAGTATATACATAGAAAATCTCCATGTTTACACCAAACCAACCTAAGCCTTTGTTAAAAGTTAAATATTGGAGAATTTAGAAAAAGTTATGTGAGCATTAAACAGAACAAGATGAAAGCAACAGGGTTCAGCAAAAAGTAGCAGAGTCAACATACCTCATCATCATCATCATCATCTGCATCCTTTTTAAGGCGGGTTGTGCCGCTCTCCTTGCTGATGGGTAACTTCATTGCTCCAAAGGGTGTATCCACATTAATGTTCCCTTTCATGGAGTAGCCCGTACCTTTTCCTCTAATCATGTCCCAAAGAGCAGAGCCAAAGTCCTTGGGCCTGAAGGTGATGGGAATTTCAATGCGACTAATACCATTTCTATCAAGCTTAGTAGATTTTGCTAGATCTGCACTTCCAATGCTCATATCACAAAGCCAAACCTCATAGTCTAGATCAGTGAGGCCCAAATCAAAGTCATTCTTATTCTCCAATTTCAAATGAAGAATAGCAACAGTTTCTTCAAGAGAGAATCTCTCAAAATGTATTTTCTCAACATCAATATCAGGCTTGTAAGGTATGGGGATCTCTCCTGTTTTCTCAATTGGCAGAGTCAGCCTCCCAAAAACCGGGACATCAACTATGAGGTCAACCTTGACCTTATAAGGAATGATACTTCCAGGCTTTATATCAGCATATGTATTTTTAATGTCATCATATATCAAAGTAACCGGTATCTTGACAGTCTCAGAACCATGAGCATGGATTGTCCCAGCATCAGGGATCAACCCAGAAATCAGTTTCCTTCCATCGCTCTCGATTAAGTAGTTTATGTCGATAAGAGGGATGGGAATCGGATTTGGATTTTTCACAAGGACGTCAACAACTATATCTGCCTTCTCAAGATTAATTTTGGGAAAGTGAATCCCTGCAACTTCAGCAGTTGGCTTGCCAAATCCAATGGTTTCCTCAATCTTCTCACCGATGTCTTGAATGAAATCCTTTACTTTATCAATAAATCCACCCTTCCCATCATCTTTGTCATCTTCTTTGTGTTCTTTCCCTTTCACATCCCTTTCAACTATCTCTGGCTTATCAGATGATGCCATACCTTAATAATAATAAATTCCAAATGTTAAAGGATTGAGTTAGAACTAGATGAAACAGACAGAGGGAATGAACAACAAATACAAGGAGACGGCACTATAACTTGTGAAGATATAAGCATACACTTTCACTCGCATAATTTCTATTTGCATTTCGCATAAAAATTATGTACAATGTTTCTAGTAAGTTGTATGGCAGAACTAAGCTTAAGCCAATTGGTTCGAGAATAAAAATATGATTCTCCTCAAAGGATATGACTTGCAGTCTTACAACAAGTCACTTGGCTTAGCTCACACTAAGCATATCCTTGTTACAGAAAACTACTGTTCGAGCCTGTCCACCGAATTCAATTTCATAAATTAGTTTTAGATCTAACCATCCCCACTATGCCCAAAGCATCAAAACCCAATTGCCAACCACAAAGAATCACCAACTAGAAAAATCAAGTCAGAAGTTAGCTTCAATAATAAGATATATTCTAAACTCCATAACAACTCTCATTCATTTGATTACATACTGTATGTATAAGCTGTATAATCGAACCAAACTGAATAAAGAAATATGACAGATGTCTGTCTAGAACAGAAGAAGAAAAAAAATTACATTATAAATAACAAGCACACTGAAAATGGTGGTTCATTGGTTCCATGTTACCTGAACATGGATCTTTCGGGACGGGAACAAAAACATGATACATTACATGCTCTAAAATGTGCTACAATAGTAATAGACTCCAAAAATTCCCCATTTTAGACATCCAATAAAATGCAATTTACTAAATTTTTAAAAACAAAATTAATTATGTAATAAAACAATTATATTAGCATTAGAAAAATGCTAGAGACCCCAAAAATTTCACCAAAATTCCTACCAAATGTCTCCTATGAGTGTGTTTGGATCGCTAAATTCCCCGTTTTAGAACAAAAGTATACAATGTTTTGGAACATGCTTTTCCAAAACATAAATCGCTAGGGTACTAGGGTTTAAAGCTTCCAGGATGGAGATTCGTCTCAATGTAGGTGAATTAACATTAAAAAAAAAATTGAAAACTTTCTCTTGCAATGATAAGAAACCAAACATACAAGTAGGATCGCATTGTCACCAATCAACCAAATTACTCTACACAAAAATGTAGATAAATCCATATATCGAATGGCAGAGGCAAGTAGTGGAGTAGATCCATAATGTAAAGTACTAAATCTGACCTCACCACATTTGAATTTAAACAAACAAACAAAAAAGAGAGAAAATTTGTTGTCGTAATCAGAAACAACACATTTTCCACCTGGGAAAGCAAGAAATCGCGAGAAAGTGACAGAAAATAGTAGAAAAATAGGGATCTGATAAACGAACTCAGAGATTCATCAGATAAATTAATAGTACGATTAGATCTGTATGTGAGATCAATTGAAAGTAAAGTGATAGCAATCAAACATAATAAAATGAAAATCGTTGTGATTCTAATATTCGTTTTGAGTAAACAGAGTGATCTTTACCTTTAGATTGAGAAGAGTGAGCGAAGTGATCGACTCGAGACAAACTTGAATGGGAATTCGATTTGAGGATCGAAGACAAAACTGAATGACTTGGGATTTTTTTATAATGATTTTTAATTAGTAATGATGATTATTGTTATCCATACAGAGAGAGACAGACAGAGAGTAATTAAGTAATGAAAATGACAAGGAGGAGCGCTTTCAGGTTCGCAAACTGATCCACACCCAGATAACACGTTTCTATGGAAAGAGGCCTTTGTTGGAGCTCGGATCCTCTCCTTCAGAAGTCTCCTTCCCATCTTGTTATTTTTAATGGCTGAGATCAATCGTTGCACATCCAACGATTGAGATGAAAAAAAAAAAAAAATGAAATTTTGGTTCTTTCCCGCTCAAACAAAACACAGCTCTGTATAACCTCACATTCATAGAGGTTATGCGCACTCCTCTCACACAACCTACACTCACCCATTCTCTTTCATCGAACCCATTCTCACCGGCAACCAATACCGGCGACAACCCACTCTCGACGTCGTTGCAGATCCGACGACGGTAATCCAATCTCAAATTGATACAGATTCTGTCTGGATAGGTCTTTGGCAAACCAGAGATTAGTCTTCTTCATTGCCTCGCACTGTGTAATTTATTATTTGAGCTTCAACTGAACTTAGTCTGATACGTTTGTCTCTGTCCTCAAGATTATTTGTTAATTGACAAGATTATTTGAACTCAAACATACATACAATACCGTCTAACTAAACCCATTATTTGAGATTCAAACAGAACTCATTTGTCTCTGTCTAACAAAAAATTAACAACCTCATTATTTGGTTTGCCCTCATTTTTTGTTAATCACAAATTAGCAAATTATGAGGTTGTTAATAATGAGGAGAAATGGGTTAAACAAATTGCTATTTTGCTAAATGGGTTAAGCTAATTTTATGTTAAGCTGAACCCATTGTTAAACTCAAATAATGTCTCTAACAAAGCAATTTCAGTTTGAAGCTCAAACTGACAAGATTATTTGACAAAATAATGTCTCTAATAATTGACAAGATTATTTGTCTGTCTCTATCTGTGTAATGAATTATTGATTTTGTGTGATTGAGCTTGAAACATATCCTCTTCCCAAAAATGTGTGTTTGGAATTTTTTAAAACTGAACTTAGTCTCTAAGTTTTTATGGCTGGAATATTTTTTCAAACTGAAATTATGTTTTTTTGTGTGTTAAATAAAGATTTAATTTATGTACCTAAGATTTTATTTATATTGGTTTTCAGTTTCATTTTGATATCAATATGGAACTTGAGAATGATTGTGCTTGGAAGCCAAAACAGGGAATGACATTTGATTCTAAACAATGTGCGTATGATTTTTATAATATATATGGAGGAAGAATGGGGTTTAACATAAGAAGGGATTATTCTAGGAAGAACAAGTTCACTAACCAACTTATTTGTAGACTTTTGGTTTGCAACAAGGAGGGATTTCGAAAGGTTGACAAGCGAGACCCATTGGCAAAAAACCCTAGAGCTGAAACTAGGACTGGTTGTGAGACTCGACTTTATATTAAATCAGATGAGAGTACTGGGAAATTTGTTGTGACTGATTTCAAAGAAAAACACAACCATGATCTTGTATCACCTGAGTGTGCCCACATGTTGCCGTCACAAAGAAAGATATCGACTACCCAAGCAATTGAGTTAGAATTGGCGGCACAATCTGGTCTTCGTTTAGGGCAGTATTTTGAACTCATGAGTAGGGAAGCTGGTGGAAAGCAATGTCTTGGGTATACGAAATTAGATCAAAAAATTTATTTGAGAACCAAAAGACAACAAAGTTTAACATATGGGGAAGTAGGCAATGTGTTGCAATACTTTAAAGAAAAATCTTTGCAAAATCCTTCCATCTTTTATGTTTTTCAATTAGATAATGAGGAGCAAATAATCAATATGCTTTAGGTCGATGCACAAATGATCATGGATTATGCCCAATTTAGTGATATTGTCACATTTGATACGACTTACAAGTTAAACAAAGAACATAGACCCTTTGCATCTTTTGTGGGATTCAACCATCATAGGGAAACAGTTATATTTGGTGTAGCATTGTTGTATGATGAGACTGCCGAATCGTTTGTATGGTTGTTTGAAAGTTTTCTAGAGGCTATGTCAAGAAAGGCACCAAAAACTTTGTTCACCGATCAAGATGCTGCAATGGCTAAAGCCATACCCATCGTTATGCTTGACACAAGTCACCGATTGTGTACTTGGCATTTGATGCAAAATGCATTAAAACATGTTAACTGTTTGTTCCAAGATAAGGGGGTGAAGGGTGTACTAAATAAATTCTTCTTTGACATTGAAGATGCAAATCAATGGAAGTTAGAGTGGGCGGAAATGCTTGATAAATATGATGTGCATGAAAACCATTGGTTGAAATTGACTTTTGCGGTGAAAGAAAAATGGGCCTGGCCTTATGTTAGATCAACATGGGCTGAGGGAATGAGTACCACACAACTTAGTGAATCTTTTAATGTGTTTTTGAAGGATTACATTCGTTCTGATTTTAACTTAAATGAATTCTTCATACATTTCGAAAGGGTACTTTACGATAAGCGATACAAGAAGTTAAAAGCAGGATATGCTTTGTGCCAAAGGTTGCCAAAGGTGAAAGCAACAATAAGAATGTTAATTCAAATGGGTAATGTCTACACAAAAAAGATCTTTGAGGAATTTCAAAATGAGTACTTTCGATCTATTGAATCGGACATAGAAGCAATTGAATATGGCGAGGCTAATACCAATTACACAGTTATTGATGTTGGTAACAAACATGCAAGGAAAGTGAAGATGGAGAGAGATGGCTCCTTGGGTTGTAATTGTACAAAGTTTGAAGGGAAAGGAATCTTGTGTTGTCACTCATTAAAGGTTATTAGAGACATATTGAAGATGAAAGAGGTTCCTCCATAACACATTCTAAAGAGATGGACCGAACAAGCAAGAGCCGAAAACTGTGAAGGACATTAAGGGGAATGACATTCAAGTAGATGTGAAATTCCAACAAGTCTCGCGGGATAAGACATTGATGACCGCATTTAGAGCATTAACAAGTAGAGCTGCTGAAACTGAAGAAACTTATCATTGTTGTATTGCACACCTTGCTATATTAGGTACAAATGTTGAAGGCAAGTTAAGTGCTCATTTTGGTGTTGGAAATGAAGTAGGTAATGATGATGACACCTAAAGCTTTAAAGTGGATTGCGAAGATGTGAATCATGTTGTGCAACCAAAAGGATTGAAGAAAAATGTGGCAACTAGTAAGGGCAAAAAGAGGGTAAAAGGTGGATTCGAAGCGGTGTTGGTAGCGAACTCCAAAAAAAAAATCCCGTGCTAACAGCTTGGCTTCGTTACAATCTATTGCAAGTTCAACAGTTGCACCTTCTCCATTATCTGTTAGAGGAGATATCTATGTTTGTCAACATGTTCCTCATCTTCAACCTCTTCCTCCTCTTCATCCCCTTCCTCCATCTTTGCCCATGGGTGGTAATTCTATTCCTCTGCCATTGATGTATCCCACATATCATGTAAGTGTTACTTTAACATTGTATTTTTTGTGTGGATAATTGCGAAGCCTAATAAATGAAATTGTTGTAGGCGAACAATTTGCGAGAGATGTATGTAGTGCCAAATTATTTTCCAAATTCAATTCCTCAATGGTATTCTGCTCAACCAACATTCTAGTCACTACTTCAAGGTTCATGTGGATATGACATTGGGTTTCGATATTCTCAAGAATCAACTATTCCAATGTGTAGTCAGGTTCGTTCTTGCTGTCTTTTTAATTTATAGTTGCTGAAAATTCTAGGATAGCATGTATTTAATTGCTCAAAATTCTGTCTTTTTCCCTTTTAGGCTATGGACAAGCAGAAACAGAAGCAAACTGATGCTAAAATTGTGCTGGAAAGTGAAGTCATGGCCTTTGAAATTGTGAAGCAAACTGTTGCTGGAAAGTGATGTGGAGGAATGTGTGTTCAAATGTTAATGGCTTGTATGTGTGAAGCAATGTGTGAATAATGGACCACTGTGTTATTTTAGATGGACCAATGTGTTAATTTACATGGACCAATGTGTCAATTTTGATGGACCAATGTTTTAATTTAGATGTACCCATGTGAGCAAACTTCACTTAATGTTTATTTACAGTTGATGTTAATTTACAGTTGATTTTCATTTACTCAGCTTTTTCATTTGTTAGAAACATTATCCCATCTGTTGTGATGCTGTCCATTTTTTTATTCTACTGCAACTGTATTTAACTTGTATTGGTGTCCATGTTTGTATTGCTTCTGGTATGCTGGTTCTGGTTTTGTGATGTTAATTTACAGTTGATGTTAATTTACACAGTTTTTCTTTTGTTATAAAAATTATCCCATCTGTTGTACTGCTGTCCATTTTTTGATTCTGCTGGAACTAAATTTAACTGTGTATTGGTTCTGCTGGAACTGAATTTAACTTCTTGTGCTGCTATCCACATTTTGGTTCTATGCTGGTTCTGGTATGCTAATGACAGCACCATATATGTTGGTGCCAATGGTGGATAAGCTGGTTCTGGTATGCTAAGGACATAACCATACATGTTGGTGCCAACGTTGGATCTGCTGCCATACTCATAGAACCAAAATGTGTTGTTAAACCATAATGTGTTGTTGCAATACTCAAAATGTGCTGCTGGTTCTGGTATGGATTTGCTGTTAAACCAAAAAGTGTCATTCTAATAAATGGTTCTCATAGAGGTTCATGCTGCTGCCACACTCAGAACCATAACAGTTTATGTGCTGCTAATGATGATGCCTACAATTTATGGTTCTCCTACAGTTTATGTGTTGCTTCCATACTCAAACTTGCTAACAGATAAACTTCCTAAACCAAAATGTGCCATACTGATACTGTTAAACCAAAATGTGCCATACTGATAAACTTCCTAAACTCATAGAACCATAACAGATGAACTTGGTAACAGTTTATCATGCTACTACTTAAGTAAGTAATAATGATGATAAACTTAAGTAACTTAACATGCTAACAGTAAGTCATGCTGCTGGCATACTCATTCCATCATTCATTCCAAAATTCATTCCATCATTCATTCCATAACAGATAGCAAGTTGAATGTTTCCCAAAATTCATTCCATAACAGATAACAAGTTGAGGCCACAAGTTGAGGGAAATCAACCAATGTTAATTCATTCCATAGTTCATTCCATAACAGATAATAGATAACAAGTTGATGTACATAAAACCCAAAATGGTACAAACTTCCATTCAGTTTCCCAAAATACAATAAAGTACAAAAATTACATCATAAAGTACAAAATGATAGAAAATACAATGAAGTACACCATCGCTTTGATATTATTTTCCATCCTTTGAAGCCTTCGACCATAGCGATTTTCCATGTAATCAAGCCTCGTCTTTACATCGTTAAAGTCTTCTACTGTTATACCATCAACAACTGTACTGTTGGAACGGATTCTGAACGTAACGTCTTCATCATATTCATCCACGAACTTGAAGTAATTGCAATGGAGAGTGGAAGTGTTACTCTGCAATGCATGAGAATCAATTAGTTGAATAAGACAAATAAAAAAAGATGACAACTAAAGGAAGAAATTTTCCAATACAAACTTACATATTTTGATGGGCAAACAAAGAACAAACGCCCTTGATTTCCATTCTCATTCGTTCTTACAATGTATGGCAGCGGTTCTTCCACAATTGCATAGCCTCGGTTGTAATCTTATGTTGCTAATGTTAGAAGAAGAAGTCATTTTTTAAATCTGCATACATGTTCATTTTTTAAATGGCAGTTCTATAGAAAAGAGGGACAAAGTGTGATGCCTATTTGAATTTGAGGCAAACTATAAACATCTTCATTGAAAATGGAACAATGTGGAACAACTAGTGTAGATTATGTTTAGCTTGAAAAATGTGGAACAATATGGAACAATGTGTGTTCAGCATTGAAGTGGAACAATATGTAACTGTGCGTACATCAATTGAATTTCAGCTTCAAAACAGAATGTAGTTCACCATTGAAGTGTAGTTCAGCTTGAAAACAGAATTAGCAACACTGTTGTTAACAATGCAGTTCAGCAATGAAGTGTGGTTAACTTGGTGCTAATGGAAGTTGTTCTATACTTCATTTCAGCAGTGGAGTGTAATTTTCATAACGAACAAAGTCAACATGTGCCTTAAACTTGCGTAAAACAGTTGATTTGTACAACTAGTTTGAGATTGAGATGAGTGTTACCATTTCTACAACTAGTTGATTTCTACTACTTGGCTTAAACTTGCTTAAACTTAAGTCAAAATGGTTCCCATTTCCAAGTCCAAACTAGTTTCAGATGATCACCCATATGTGCCTTAAGGAAGATGTCTAACCATATTTCCATGACCAATACTAGCACAGTTTGTATATGATCATTCATATGATATGAACGAGCTATTATGCATTCATATGATATCAGTGCTCCATCCCATAGGAACAAGTGATTACCATTGGTTATTAATTTTTTTTTGATGATGTGATGATCCAACCTCAAGTCCATTGGTCCACATTGTCACTTGAGTAGTAAACATCAACACTGTTCAAGTGCTATTCAGATTGTTCAAATTTGAGGCAATTAAGTAATGAGCTAAAAAATAAAAAATAAAATAAAAAAATTGGCTACTGATTCATCTAAAACATGGAGCATATTTCATGAATTGGCTATTGATTTATCAAAAATTGGCTACTGATTCCTCAAATACAGGGAGCATATCTCATTCATTGGCTACTGATTTATCAAAAAATGACTACTGCTTTATCAAAAACAGGGAGCATATTTCATGAATTGGCTACTGATATGTTAAAAATTGCCTACTAATTTAAAGAATTGGTATTCAGATTGTTCATATTT